ACAAAGTGCTGTGCCTGCCACGAAATCTGCACGTGGAGGTTCACAAAAAGTGCTGCACCTGCCACGAAATCTGCACATGGAGGTTCACAAAGTGCTGCACCTACCACGACATCTGCACATGGAGGTTCACAAAGTGCTGCACCTGCCACGAAATCTGCACCTGGAGCTGGAGTTGCCTGGAGCTTGAGCTGTTGAAACCAGAGCTGGTGTATGAGCGGTGTATCATGAGTGGTGTGTGATCAGTCGTGTATGATGAGTGGTGTATGATGAGTAGTGTATGATGAGTGGTGTATGATGAGTGGTGTATGATGAGTGGTGTATGATGAGTGGTGTATGATGAGTGATGTATGATGAGTGGTGTATGATGAGTTGTGTATGATGAGTGGTGTATGATGAGTGGTGTATGATGAGTGGTGTATGATGAGTGGTGTATGATGAGTGGTGTATGATGAGTGGTGTATGATGAGTGGTGTATGATGAGTGGTGTATGATGAGTGGTGTATGATGGGTGGTGTATGATGAGTGGTGTATGATGAGTGGTGTATGATGAGTGGTGTATGATGAGTGATATATGATGAGTGGTGTATGATGAGTGGTGTATGATGAGTGGTGGTTGAACAGCTGTTGAATGTCCGTAACACGGAAGTTTTGCACACTAAACTTCCTTTGATAAATTGTATATAGGGTAGTGTTCTTCGCCACAAGTCGCTCGCTTCAGTGTGATCCGATCTCCTCATGTCGTCAAGCAGCTCTTGAAGCCTCGGCTGGTCCGGAGTGATTTGGGATGATGAATGAGGTGAAATGATGGACAATCCATTGATTTCTGTAGATGCTTGTGGAAAGTGGGGGATACGAGGCGCAGGTATCAAACTGAGCAGTTGATATGTCAAAACTGCTGGGCTGACGGGGTGTGTCTCGAATGCGTCAACTGTCAACAAGCGGGTTTCATCTACGTGTCCCTATCGGAAGTGGTGGAAAGTGTCCTGTCAGTGATTGTGGGGGTCTGAACCGAACCATTCATATCCCAGAGCTGCTCAGAGCTGGTCAGTCAGGTCTTGACCATCTTACACACCGCTTTTGTATGACCGAAATGTTCGCCAGGTTGGTCCAGGCACCATCTTCCCCAAATAAGCGCCAACCGCATGGAATAATGTCTGACATACGTTGCATAGTTTACAGAACAACATATGTTTTGTTTCTTGAACATACAAGAACCAGTCCTTGGAAACACCATGTTTGCGGGCCACTGCGTGGTCTTGCGCCAAGAGTGATGATGACCATGTCCCATATACTGAATGAAACAAGTTGACACAACACTCTGCGTGTACCCTGTGCAGTCTTCTGGTGACACAGCTCTTGCCTACCATGTCTCTACAAAATGTGGTTGGCCTTGCTGTAGTCAGCTGTGCTCTGGATGGATTGCACGTAGATTCATACAGCTGCCAGGTGTTTGTCAAGGGAATAAATCCAGCCGACAGCTTGTGGCTTCTGGAATATTGCGTTTGTCAAGGTGATGTGAATTGGTAACCGGAACAAACGCAAAGCGAAAAGCCTGGCAGCTGTATGAATCTACGTGCAATCCATCCAGAGCCTGCTGTGTCT